TCTATGGGATACTGCAAAAGATATGTCAGTCCGAGTCAATTTGAACATAAAAATATATTATGGCAATCATTTATTATAACACACTGATAAAAAAGAATCCATGAGTACAGATACTAAAACACACAGTAGGGTGGACATAAAACTTCCTTGTAGCAAATGACAACTCATAAATTTAAAAGAAATGATAGTCTGAGGAAATTGACATTTTAAACCTATATACCTTTGAACAATACAGTATTAAATTATGCAGGAACCATTAAAATATATAAGGAATATAGAGCCATAGGAACACGCCCCCCCCCAAAAAAAAATTGGCCAATGTTCAGTCATTACAGGAGGTAGCATATATGGATCAAGAAACAATGGTACTGAAGGAAGATTTAGCTGCTATGAAGGCTTTAATGAAAACCAAGGTTCTGGGAATTGACAGAATACCAAATGAAATGTAAGCTGATGAAGCACTGGACGCACTCATTCGGTTATGCCAAGAAATTTGGGCCAATTGACTGGAAGAGACCCATATTTGGACCCATTCCAAGGAAAGGTGAGTCAACAGAATGTGGAAATTCTAGAACAAGATTGTTAACATCACATGCAAGTAAGCTGTTGAAGATCATTCAACAACTGAATGCAGTGCATTGAAGGGAGAGGCCAGAAATTCAGCTGGAATTCAGAAGAGGATGTGGCACATGGAATATCATTGCTGATGTCGGTGGATCTTAGTTGATAGCAGAGAATGTCAGAAAGATGGTTACTTATTCCTTCTTGGCTATGCAAAGGCATTCAACTGTGTGGATCATAACAAACTGTAGATAACTGTGGATAATGAGAAGTCCAAAACACTTCAGTGTATGCATGCAGAACCTCTACATAGACCAACAGGCAGTTGCTCAAATACAACGAGACTAGTGCATGGTTAAAATCAGGAAGGTATCCATCAGGGTTACACCCTTTCACCATACTTACTGCATCTGTACAGTGAGCATATAATTCAAGCAGCTGGATTCTATGAAAGAGGCGGTGTCAGGATGGAAGAAAAGGCTTACTAACAGCCTGTGATATGCAATTGGTATGACCTTGCTTGTTGAAAGCCAAGAGGGCTCGATGCACTTCTGACGGAAATCAAACACTGCAGCCTTCAGTATGGCTTGCAACTTAATACAAGGAAACACACGTCCTCACAACACAGCATGGTAGACGGAGGAAAGACCAAAGTTGTCCAGGATCTCGTCTTGCTTGGATCCAGTCAGTGCTCATGGCAGCAGCAAAAACTCAAAGGGCATACTGTTTTGGGCACATCTGCTGCCCAAGAGCTCTTTAAAGTGTTGAGGAACAATGGCACCACTTTGCACACGAAGGTGCACTAGACGTAAACCATGGTGCTTTCCATTGCCTCATCTGCAGTAAATAAGGCCGAAGCAGCACTGATGCACATCAGTGATGTCCAGGTGAAGACTACGGCTCAACACGGGGACAACTGTAAGGATGATGCAGGACCTAGCAGTGTTTCATTTTGTTGTACGTGGGGGTCATCGTGTGTCTAAATCGACAGTAGGTAAACTCGGATAGATATCTGGCCTTTTCACATTTCAGAAGACAAAAGCTGATGGTCAATGTAAGGTCAGACTACAAACAACAGCTGAATTCAGGGCATATTTCTGGACTGGAAAACAAAATGGTCTTTCCAAGTATCGATACATTGATGCACAAGGTAGAGACCACAATATTAGGTTACAGTGATGTATCAAAATTTAACTTTGTGAATTTGGTAATTATAATGGTCAAGTAAGAGCGTTTTTTCACTAGGGACTGTTGTGGGTAATGGCTTATCAGATTAGTATGTATGGAGATCATGTGGGTGAGACAAAGCAGATCCGGGGGAAAGGAAACAGTTGGTGACCCTAGATCACCAACTGGGTTTGTAGATGGTGACTACATTATCTTCCAAAATTGGAAAAGCAGCTTAGGAAGTGGCTTCTGGAAGGGCATGCCATTATATAGAAACTCCAAAGTTGCGATACATCAGTGTTTATACCCACAAGAGCTTATTCTGTGGCCAAAGGGGATATGCTAACCCTTTAATAAAACCCATGGAACATTTCTAGGCATAGTAGGAAATGCTTATCCCACTTTTAGTGTGCACTGCCATCTAGTGCAGGTCTGCCTCACAGCGTGAATCTGAACAAAAGGGTCTTATTCCACTAACCTCTGCCACTAGACACCCCTTGGAGCTATGTCTCACACTAATTTCCATATTACCTTAAAACACACCTTTTCCCCCCATCATTCAAAATTCATTCATTATTGAAAAGATAATGGTTTCAGCAAGCAATTCAAAGCAGAAAATAATTCGATCTTGAAAAGGTTAATAGGAGTGATAAGTCTTGAGCATATTTTTGTGTAATCCAAGTCAGTAGTTCAGCCCCATCAGCTGCTCCACGGGAGAGAGATGAGGCCGTCTGCTCCCTTGAAAATAGGGTCTCAGGAATCCAACGGGGGCAGGTCCAGTGGACAGCAATATGTTCGATGCTTAACAATTACAGGTTTGCAAAATCCCCAAATAACTGCTGGCTCACTGGAACTGGTGAGGCTGGCTCCGCCTTTGGCAGGTCCTGCTCAGCTGTGAGGCTCCGCCTCTACCAATGACACTTCATGTTCAGGGAGTAGCACTCTGAGGAACAAACACTGCTTTCTGTTGTCACCACTGTTGGTGATGACGCTGTAGCTGGGTATATCTGTGGGCCTGGGGGCAACACCGACTGCCTACACACAGGGACTAGGGTCTCACGATCACTCCATTGAATGGAAGTGACAGGCGTCCGGATGGAAGTCTGACAAGCTCATCTGGGCAGCCGTGTAGACTGGAGAGCAGAGGTTTTATGGAAGACACCTCTGGAGGGGTGGGTGAGGGGGACTACAGAGGACGTAGAGAAAAGGATCACAAGGCTGACACACTAAAACAGGAGAAAATGATGATTCCTGGGGTTTTGGTGTCAGCTGGCAAGGTGAGGGAATGGCAGATAAAAAGGCACACAAAACTGAAATGTCATGAGACAGCATGTGGTAAACCCCAGGAAGGGCTGGGAGACTGCCGGAAGGCAGCAAGCACCCTGCCATTTACTGAACATGTTCCCTGGGTCACTTTATTGATGCCCATGTCCCTCAACATCCAGGGTCCCTTTGTATGGATACTGAGACTGAGGTGATGGGAATGGGGATGACATACTGAGGCCTGTGGACTTCATTCTTCAGGGGCTGCTGAGAGAGAATCCCATCTCCTCCACACCTGGCATTCGCTTCTAGGTCCCCAGCCAGCTCCCAGAGAGCAAGGTCTCACTCTTGCAAGTTCAGACCCATAGGCTGTGTGGTCACTGCTGGGGAGGCCTGCCCTTTCAGAGTCACCTTCTCTGTGGAGAACTCTGCACCACCCACCTGCCTGGTAAAAGAGCTCCGCGCCACCTGCTGTTAAGAGCTCAGCACAACCTGCCTGGGACGGGGTCAGGCAGACCGCGCCCCTCCTGGACTTTGGTCCTGGGTCTGAGCTGAGGCTTCCAGTGGGGCAATACTCGTATGCAGTCACCCATGCATGACTCACAGTTGTCTCTGAAATTACTAACCCCAAATATCCCCTTTGTGCTCTTCCTCCAGAGACCAATGGGGTCACCAGCGATGGTTCCTGTTCAGCTTTAGTGGTGTCATGCCGAGCCCATACAGGTTGGTTCACTGCCACAGAGGGGGTGTCACCAGACCTCTGCAAGGGCCCAGTGCTGCCACCACCACCCACATCTAGCCCCAGTGACTTATTAGCCCCAAGGTGTTCAGGATGATTTAGAACCTGTCCCAACTATCCTATGTGACCAGCTGTAAACTGGGGCAGACTCACAGAAAGCCTGCTCCTGGGAACAGAGCCTATTCTGAAAGGTCCACCTCCACCCAACTCACCAGCCAGTGGGAGTCGAGTGCCTTTCAGGTCAGGAAGGGGAAGTCCCTAGAGCTGGAGGTGCACAATGATGTGAGGACAGAAAGGACCCCCTCAGGACCCAAGGGACGAGGGAGGAGGCGAAGGGAGAGTGTTGTCCTTTGTTCTTTGGTGACATGGGAGGGGCCAGGGAAGCTACAGACCCAGCAGTGCTCAGCCCCCTCAGCTGACCCTGACCCACACCCATGCAGCCAGGAGCTGGCAGAGAGCTGGGAGAGGGGGACGCAGACAACAGCCTTCCAGAGCCACATAGAAGTTCTTTTTTGTGGGGAGGGTGGTTCAGAAGAACAGAAGTAAAAAACCGAGCCTACACTGCAGCAGTCCACCCCGCACCTCCCAGACGCTTTGCTGCTTGCTGCTCAGGCCACCATGGGCCTCCTTCATGACTCAGGACCTGGCCATGGCGCCATCCCAGAGACCCAAGAGCTTGCTGGAACCGGGCACCGCAGGTCCCATGATCTTTGGAGGATGGAGGGCGGCAGTGTGCACGACTGGAGCTGCCTTCCTTCCATGGGCAGACGCAGCAAACCCTGGGGGCATCACGTGTTCCCTGATAGCGTGTCCACTAAGGGGTGGGGTATCCAATGGATCAGGATACCAGTGATGTACTTCCGTGATGGGTGGCAGGGCCACCTGAATCACAAAGGGCTACCAGGGGCACGCTCCCCACTTGGCCTGTGCCCACGGCTGCTAGGTCTTCACATGGTGTGGGCCACACCCTGGGCAGGTGGCTCTGGTAATGGAACCCACATCTGTCTACAGACAGCAGGGAGAACTGTCCCTTTGTCACCAAAAGCTGGAGCCTCAGGTCAGGTGAGTGATGGGCGTGAGGGTAGAGGGACCGCACAGCGGGCTACTAGAGAGCAAAAAAAGGCCTTTCCCAAAGACAGAAAGCTGCTTCTCAGTGTGTGCATCAAGAGCAAGACAGTTGAAAATCGTATTCCTGAGAAGAAGCAAAAAGTTTTTAAGTTTGCAAACAAATACAACAGGTGATTTCAACAAAAGGTTAAACACACACACACACACACACACACACATTGTTTTTTAAAACCAACAGCATTTCAAGTATTATTCCAGATGGGATGGCGATCCTACTATGGGCAGAATGGGCAGCAGTAAGAGGGAGCGGAGGTCCCACCACACTGAGAGCTGACCTCAGGTGCTCTCTCCATGCGATCTGGGGCCTTGGCAAGATGACAGAGGGAAACGAGGCCAGAGCATGTGGTGAGGACATGAAGGGCAGAGCTGGGTCAAGGGGGCTGTCCTGTACTCTCACAGCACCTGGCTACCAACACCACATCTTCAAAGGCCCCAGAGACACAGAGGGATGAAAGATGTGAAATTAGCAAGGACGACCTTCTGGCTGTGGCAAAGAACAAGAGGAGAAGAGCTCGGCAGGGTCCCGGCCTGCCTGAGAGATCCCTGAAACTGAGTGCTGGTGGCTGCTGTGCCCGGCTTCACCGCTCACCGCCTGCAGGTGAGCAGCGCACAGGAACCACACCACCACATGGAGACACGCAGACAGACAACTGACTGACACTTGTCTGAAGGGGAGTGGTGCTGATAACACCTGGGAGCGCCAAGGTTAGCAGTCGTGGACTTCCGATCTTTTTTCCTTTCCTTTTTAAAAAAGAAACAGGACCATTCTTCCAAATACCACACTATTTCAAATTTTAGTAAATTTGTAAATTATATTATTTGTGCTACTACTGTGATATTTAAGTCTCATTAGAAGATAAGCACCAAACCTACGGAAATGAAAACTATATATCAAGAGCTGCGGTTTCCCACAGCAGCTGTAAACTCCCACCCCTTTTCCCTAAACAAGGTGGTCGGATGCACTTGTTTTTCTCCAAGGAGGCTTTGCCTGCAAAGAGGTGTACTGCAAACATGTTGTAGAAAACGTCGGAAGACCAAACCTCGATCGTGTCATCTGTACAGAGGAGCATGGTTTTCCATTGGCAAGCTCTCAGACGCCTGGCTCTGGCTGCCTGTGGACGCTGAAGCTCGGGGCTCGTGGACCCGGGACCCTGTGCTGGAGTCAAGCACCTAGTGGGAAGACGGTGGCGGGCAGGCCAGGCCTCCGGGCACTTGGGAATATCTCACCCGAGGAGAAAATGCCACAAAGTGAATGTCACGCCTGGACTCCAAGACTCCCTGAGAAGGGAACCTGAAGCATGCCCTTAGGATGCGTACGTTCGGAGCAAAGTCTTTGAAAAACGTGTCACTTAAACTTCAGCTTGCCAGTCATTTCTGCACTTCATCTGATACTTAGTTCTTGAATCGTGTTTGTTCACAAATATGATTAAATTTCCTACAAGAAGAAAATGGTCAAATTACACACAAAAAAAAACACTAGTCATTCTTCACATAAATGACAATTTGGAAGAACACGTGGAGAATTACATAAGAAACTCTGTGTGTGCACACCACACCTGTGCTCCCAGCAGCATTGTTTTCAGTAAATGCAAAGAACCTGGTGCCTCTCCAGAGGCAGCTTTTTCCTCCTTTCTTATAGTGAAAAACACATGTCAACATGCTTTAGAAAATTTCCCAGGCGAAGAGGTCTAAAAGCTGAGGTCTATGGGAGTGCCCCTGGGTACTGCAGGCACCCCACTACCACCAGGAGAGGGCATGAAGCTGGGTGGGATGAATGCCACCTCTGATCCATGATTGGAGCAGAAATGGGTGCAGTACACATGGGAAAAAAGGTACGGGCTCATCACAATGCTGAGAACAGTTTGCCGCTTACTAATGAGATCTCTTCCTATAATAATACAGTCCCTTTCATACACTGCTTATACTCAAAGGCAAAGCTACATGTTTCTCCCACAAGACTGTTCCCTGGAAGGAGTGGCTCTCTCTCAAGCATCACTCTATTTCACACTACAGACTGCTATTGGAGATGATGTATGAGTCTGAAACAACGCGGATCTGTGAGTCATTCTGGATCTACGCAGCGGGTCACCTCATTCAGTTTAAAAATGGATGTGGGAAAACGATTCTCAGACGTGTGAGCTCGTAGTTGCAAAGGGATGCTGAGCGTGAACAAGCCTCTTGAAGAACCACAGGCACGATCACACAACTCAGGTAGCACTCACAAACACCCGGTATTCACACGTGCTACGTCTCACACTGCCCGGAGGGAAGGCATGCTGTGCTCTGGAAGGATGCCAGAGGCCTGGAACGGGAGTGTTAAGTGGGTGTGGAGCCGATGGTGCTGAGCATCGGCTGTATGAAAGCACTTTGTGACAGCAGGTAATCAAGTTCAGCAATTCACAATTCCTTCCTGTTTCAGTGTGTGCCTTCGTGGAGCTGTAAAAGCTCAAGTTAGGATATTCATATGCAGGCTGTCGACGGTTTTAGGTATCTCCCTAAAAGGATATATGCCTTATAGCCCTGTATCAGGCTGGCTAAAATGCTTATAAAGAACCAATGGAAAAATGAGATTGCCTCCCGGGCGGGAGGCCCCGGCTCAGCCCGCTCACTTACATGGCATGGTGTGCTTTCACCTGAGTTCTGCAGTTGCGACCCCAGTAGCAATCAGGACGGGATGTGACAGCCACTGAGAGGGAGAAAACACACGGAACATGAAACAATACACACTACATTTCAGTAGAGGCCTATGCAGAAAGTGCAGCCAAAATGCAACTGTTGGACCACTTTTTTTAACTACAGGCAGGCCGCTCGTGATACAGCCTAGTTATAATCCAAATCATGCTACAGATAGGAACTGGAAACTCAGGGAACCCAGGGCGAATGATCCCTACAGGACCAGTGGCGAAAGTGGTATACTGGGAGGGTAGAGAGAGGGTGGGTTGGAAAGGGGGAACCGATTATAGGGATCTACATATAACCTCCTCCCTGGGGGACGGACAACAGAAAAGCGGGTCAAGGGAGACGTCGGACAGGGCAAGATATGACAAAACAGTAATTTATAAATTATCAAGGGTTCATGAGGGAGAGAAAAGTGAGGAGGGAGGGGAAAATATGAGCTGATGCCAAGGGCTTAAGTGGAGAGCAAATGTTTTGAGAATGATGAGGGCAATGAATGTGCAAATGTGCTTAAAAAAAAAAAAAAGCCACAGAGTGGCAGAATAGATTTGTTTTAAACAAAGCATTGTCGTGGAGAGCAAATGCTTTGAGAATTATGCGGGTAACAAATATACTAATGAGCTTTATACAGTTGATGTGTGTATGGATTGTGATAAGAATTGTATGAGCCCTCAATAAAATGACTTAGAAAAAAAAATAGTACAAACTGCTTACAGACACTTCCGGAGAGAAGGGGAAGGGGCATGCCCTCAGGGCACATGGGGAATAATTACTGAGTTAGTGAGCACCTTCCCGCCATGTGACTGTGATAATAAAGTGGAAGCGCTAAGTGGGAAAACTGTCCATTTCGCAAGAACACCAAGCTGAGAACGTGGTATCACTGATATGGAACGGCTCAGAGATGAGCAGGTAGTGGAACTGAGAGATGACGACAGAATGGATTGTGAAGTGGAGCGAGATGCTGAAGAAGAAAGAGTACATAAAAAGGCGTCACCGTTTTCACAGTGGAAAGACTAGCTGAAGTTTTCCTATACTAAACCAGGGGTTTGAAAACACACTCACACGCTGATTGCAAAGCGAAATGCAGATTTGGCAAGTAGTGAAATGTTGCCCCAAAATACATAAAGACAAAGAGAAAGGGACCTACAGATAAGGACCTCCTCTCACTGATTTTTCTGACTGGAAACACCATCTGCATCCCCAGGACTAATCCAGAAGTTTCAGAAGCTCCCACAAGTAGAGCTGTTACTGCACATGGCAAAATGCCACTGTTGTCCAACAGTTTGTCACTGAGAAAACTTTTATGGTTTGTGTGTTTATGTCTGCATGTAGTCAAATATTATGTGTAAGCTTCCAACCCTCAAAGACAAATAAAGATGAGATTTACAAAGATTAGGGTAATCAAAAGCAGTGAACAATGAAAAGGAAGGGTTTAACTTCCATTAGCTCAGACTTACAATGGAGTGTCCTGGAACAGAACCCCATCGTACGTTGGGGATACTTAGATTTGGAAGGGAAGCAATGCTTAATTAAAAACCCAATTTGAGAAAATAAATTAACTAGGTGCCCACAAGATGCTGTTATGCATCTTTAGAAAAGCTACACTGCCTCAAGCAGGACTGAGCTTGTCCAGAGCTTGTTCCTTGGTCCACACCAGCTGAAGGGGCAGACAGAAGTCAATCGTGCCTGAGGCTTCCTCACCTGGCAGTTCAGAAGCAGGAATGTTCTGCCGATACTGGTAGGCCAGCTCCCGGAAGCTTCGCAGGCCGCAGCAGTAGCACAGCACCGTGTTTCCCGTGATCCTGTAGTCTAGAAGGAACACAAACCCCTCAAGGGTCCAGCCGGTGACCACCCCCACTTCCAAGGCCAGATTTCTATGCACATGGTGGTAAACAAGCTCAGAGAGACCAGGTGGGAGTCACTATGACACCGATCAATGGCTGGGAACCCTAGTCTTTTGGTCTTCCCTTACAAACGACATAATTGCTTTTTCCGTTCTTGTGAGCCATATAAATCCTCACATAAATGACAGGACCACTAAAGAGAGGAAGCATTAAAACCCAACTTATGGGTTTCCATGGGTAATTCAACCAGAGAGCAGCTCTCCCACCCAAAAGACCAATAGAGGGAAGAATTTATTTATTTAAGAGGTCCAAGCTCAATGTTTCTTTAAAATTCTAAAAGTCCTGTGAATTCTAATTTCTCTACTGGGGTGTGGGGAGTTCCAAGCCATGACACACAGAACAGACAGGTCCTGATGTGAGGAGCAGCCAGCACACACTCATTACATTCTCTCGGGTCAAGGTGCCACCTGGAGGGGGCCTCAGGCAGGAGGACGCTTACCTGACAGCAGGAACACCCCCCTCTGCAGAGCCACCAGACTGTCTGTCAACAGGTTCTTCCAGGTCAAGCCCCTGGCTGCCAGGTAATTCTGTGAGGGGAGAAGAGGGCAATTAGAGGTGTTCATTTAGAGAGAAATATACTGTGATGGGGAGGGCAGACAAGGTTGTGAGGACCTACACAAGGTGGTGCAAAGACACAGCGACCTCAACAGACACTGCTGTCCTCCCACTGCCAGGACAGGAAAATGAGAACTGGCAAAATGGCAGCAAAGGGGCAAGACAGGAGTGGTGTCGGAGGACCCAGCTACTGTGGGTTCATGCCTGATGGGTACAATCTGGCACAGAGGGAAAACGCTGGCCCACGGTGGGGCTGATTGAGTCCCTGCCTGCAGCAGGGAGCAGTGTGAATGGCAGCAAGGTCTCTTCTGAGCCTTCCCGGCTCAGCAGGCCCTGACACACGATACCTTCAGGATGTCTGACTCATAGTTGTTGTTGTTCAGCACACCATCCAGACACTTGTCCCCAAGATTGAGCTCTGCTGACAGAAAGGCAGCATGTTATCACTACGTCAGGACATTTAATGAAAGACCACTTGCTTGGCAATTAGATGACATTCCCCTCCAGCTATCGGTTCTAGGAAGAGGATAAGCTCAGGTGAAAGACAACCTTAGACAGAGTAAGTGACCCTATGTACTTGGAAGCTATGGCAGGCAGCATTGTGTGAGCTGCTTTTCTGTAGGCAACTTAGCTGCCCCTCTGAACCCGGTGCTTCCCTTGACTAATGCCACTGCTAGGTTCTGATGCTTCTAGAATGGCAAACCAGTGCAGTTCAGCAGGATGAAGCAGTTACACACTAGGTGACCAGCAAGGCCCCTTCCCCTTCCCCATGGTGTTGGCCGGGCACACCCCCACCCCACTCCGCCCTACCCCACCCACCTGGGCCGCCTTACCGCAGAGCTGGGCCAAGCAGCCGAAGCAGCCAGCTCGGGTGCAGCCCCAGTACAAGTGGCAGAAGGGCTGCAGACAGGCAGCACCTGGGGACAGGGGACAGTGGTCAGACTCGGGTTCCTGTGGGGTGGGAGTCCTCCACCCAGCTAGCACACGAGGTGCGTGCTCCGAGGTGCGTGCTCCGTGGGGTCCACACTTCCAAGTGCTGCTGCGGCCACTGCTCAGTCATCTTCAACAAAACTTTACTACTGTGTGATAGGAACACTCGCACCTAAGACTCTCCAGATTCCGTTGGGTCATCTTAAAACAGAGCAACAGGTTGGCTTACCTAGTAGCAAAAGATCTGCTTTGGGCATTATGCTCTGCTCAATAACTATCAATTTGGGATCACAACTTGAAAGATTAGACAACCACTGTAGGGGAGAGTGAGCCAACGCAGTGAAGGAGGGTGGGTGACAACTGCACAACCAAGGTCAGTGTCAAAAACTGTTTATTGGGAACTGGTATCAAGGGCTCAAGTAGAAAGCAAATGTTTTGAGAATGATGTTGGCAACAAATGTACAAATGTGCTTGACACAATGGATGGATTGTGATAAGAGTTGTACGAGCCCCAGTAAAATGACTTATTTAAAAAAAGAAACTTTATTGGTGCATGTTTTGCTGTGCGTATGTTCACCAAAAGAAATATACATTTTTTAAGGTGGTAAGGATAAGATCATATTAGTATAAAGACAAAAACACAAATTAAAGAAATTTTAAAAAAGGACCACCACCACAAATAATGCGTCAGTAGAAGAAGATCCCCATCAACGTTCAAAATGCCGGGGAAGAAATTTCTGTCCTGGAACAACTAAGAGATGCTTAGAGCAAATTCAGGTCTGTCTCTGGGGAGGTGGACTGGCCAGGTATCCAGGGTGATGCAACACCGTCAAGTGACTGTGGTCTCTGCCTGCGAGCAGGGCTGTTCGGGACCCTGCCTTGGGCTAGAGCAGACCTGCCATTGGGCTCTGGGCTCCCACTGTCCTCCAGAGCCTGCTACACGTTGAGTGTTTGTAATTTTAGCTCTGAAACGTTTAACCATATTTGAGGTTTGTAATTGTCATCTTCAGATCACACAAGCTGGTGTGCTTCTTTTGTGTGGACTCAGTTGATTCCTTGCTTAGATGGCTGCTTGGTTATCAAGAAATAAAATTAAGGTGGGGGGGAGGAATTCTTACAAATCAGTATGAAAAAACAAAATTCCATTAAAAAAAAGCAAAGAATTTGAGCCGACATTTTATTTTACTTTTTTTCATATGATAACTTTAGTTTTTTTTTATTATGAAATCATTTTATTGGGGGCTCGTACAACTCTTATCACAACCCATATATCCATCCATTGTGTCAAGCACATTTGTACATTTGTTGCCATCCTCATTCTCACAACATTTGCCTTCTACTTGAGCCCTTGATATCAGCTCCTCATTTTTCTTCCTCCCTCCCCCCCTCCCTTATGAACCCTTGTTAATTTATAAATTTTTGTTGTTTTGTCATAGAGCTGACATTTTAATAAGGGATAAACACACATTTCCATTAACTGAATGAAAAGCTCAGTTTGGTGGTGATCGGACTCCAGTTTAGCTCTTCACCTGGTGTTGCAGGACAGAGCGGACACAGCAGGGACACTGGAGAAAGGGCTATTTAGGGTCTGCTGCAAGAAGAGCAGACTGTGGCTGGGTGGGGACACCTGGTCAAGCAGGTGAGAGGTAGGCTGGTACCTAACTTCAAGTGTGTGCAAGCCCACAGGGCCTGAGGGGTGGAGGGTGGAGCCACAAACCAGGCACTCACACTGCTGAGGTGCAACTCGAGGGTCCTGCTCTCGCTCCGCTCTCCGGTCAGGCATGGGCTGGAAGCAGCAGGTGCAGACGGCATGGCTCCCCTGGGCTGGGCATACGTAGTCCTGGGCTGCTGTAGCAGTGGATGGACGCCAGCAGCCACGAAGACCATGGGTGAAAAGCACACATCAGAAGCAGCCTCAGGTGAAGGCAGGTGAACACAGAGTACAGATGGCCAGCCCCCACCACAGAAGCCAACTCAGAACACGTTCAGCATCTTTCACATGAGCAGACACAGAAGAGCCAGTTCCATGAAGAACTGAAGGTCAACACAAGGTGGTGGGGAGGGCAGTTTCTCACCTGTTGGGAGGCTAGCAGATGTGGATGGGGCCTCCTCTGGGACCTGCAGGGCCCCCTGCTCATTGTTGGGCCCTGGGCAGGGCAGTGGCTGCGCCTGCCTCCTGGATTCCGGGCACTGTCTGCACACGATGTACGGTTGACTGCAGTGAAACACGGAAGAGATGTGAGCATCGATGTGGGCAGCACAGGGGAGTCTGGGCCCTGGACACACACTCACTGGGTCTCTCAGAAAAAGGCCTGCAGCCTCTCTGGCAGTGCCACTAAGCTAAGCTTCTTTGGCCTGGTGTTTGCCCAATCTCACCATTCCTCAAGTCAAGCCATCTCAAGTGTCTGGGGCGGTGGACAGCCTGTCTACCCCTGTTTTCTGAAGGACTTCTCCAGCCGCAGAGGAGTCTGCGGCAGGGCCGTACCCAGTGCCCAGCACTCAACGCTGAACAGCACACCCAAGGGACCCAAGACTTCACTTCCAGGCTCTGCTCGCATGTCTGACAGACAGAACACAGCACACTTGCCTGCTTATCTCCACTACTTGAGAGTATGCTTGCACTTCTGAAGTTTGGATGGAGCTCACAGGCTCCTGTGGAGGCCTCAAGCTACACTCCCAGGCGTTCCCCAGTCTGTCCTGGAACCAGGCACGATGCTCGCATGAAGGTGAGTCTGAACACAGTGAGGACAGCACTGGTGGGACCCACCACAGCCCTGCCTTAGGTCTTTACTGTACTCGGTGGATGTCCAATGAATGTGTGTGCAAAGGGTCTCGCGTGCTGACGGACAGGAGGAGGAAACCTAGCACGCCTGCTTGAAAGTGACCAATATACCGGTACCACTGTGATCCCCTCCCCACAGGCCATGCCACACCTCCACACCACTCACCAGACTCACGTATGACACTGATGCCTCAGTGAGGGCAGGACATCGTGCATGCCTAGCACCTCCTCCTCTCAGCATGTTGCCCATGGCACCACTGTCCCTACGCCCCAGTGCTGTGAGGGCATCACCTGATGTCTGAGGACTCGCTGTCGACATCTGACAGCTCCAGCAGGTCTTCTGAGCTGCCCTCCTCATCTGAGAATGACCTCCTGACCTTGGGCTGCAGCATGTCCTGAGTGATCTTGTTCCTGGCATCCATGCTCCGCATGTCTTCCTCAGTGCGGCCCTTGTCTGCAATTCAGAGCAGCCATTCAGGGGGGCATGCTCTGGCATGCAGAGGGCTTCCCTGTGGACCCAGTGGCCCGGCTTGCCTGGGTGCTGGGTGAGGTAGGCCTCCACCAGGTTGTTGAGGATGTGGTTCTTGCAGATCCGCTCCACCAGGCAGCGGCACGTGGGGCACAGGGACGAGCGCTCCATCCAGCCAGAGTAGCAGGCGGCGCAGAAGGTGTGCATGCAGGGCTGCAGGCTGTAAGCACAGGGGGGCGGGATGCAGTCCTCTGTTGGGAGGTAGTGGTGGTGATGGTGGGGGGGGTCTTTGGTCCTCTGCAGGTGGGGGTGGGGGGCCCTGCAATCCTCTGTGTGGGCGAAGGAGCGGAAGGGCTGCAGTCTTCTGTGTCGTGTGGAGATGTCATTGGAGCACATGGGTCTGGGCTGGGAGCATTAATCTAAATTTTGCAACTTCCAAAACAAAGGAGCAGAGAAACTAAAAGTACGCTGAAAAGATCTTTGTTAAGGCTGAAATCCACATAGGCTGTAAGCCTCACATTCTCACAGAAAAGTGAGGTGGAGGCTCTTCCAGGGCTGTAATTCCTGTGATACATGTCCTACGTTAAATAACGCATTTCTTTAGGTGGACCCCCAGTGGTGTACTGGTTACTCATTGGGCTGTGATCTGCTTGCAGCAGTTCGAACCCACAAGCCCCTCTGCACGAGAAAGACTGGACTTTGGACTCCCATAAACAGTTAGTCTTGGAAGGCCACAGGGGTCACTCTGAGTCAGCATTGACTCAATGACAGTGAGCTATTAAAAATAAAAATTTTAAATAAATAAATTAATAAAACTAACACATTTCTTTAACTAGGAGAACTTCAGATGCCATCAATGGTCACATGATGGATTCTACCCTAAACCGCCTGAAGGCTACGTGATCCATCCCTGTCAAGCATGCTCCCACTCGACGCACCTCACGCAGTCATGCAGCAGCTCCTGGCAGATGATGCAGGTGAGCGTTTCCTCCATTCTGTCTGGCTTCACTGCTGTAGCTCGGCTGTCCTCTCGGCCGGCCAAGGGATCCTCACCCGGGTTGAGAACTGCCTCCCCGGCTGTGGGAAGACAGGGCAGCTTTAGTTTCAACTAGGGAGGAGATAAATGCGTGGTCTCTTAGGCTTCAGCTTACAAAACTAAAACTGAGTCCATGCCAAGTCATTTCGACCCTGGAGGGCAGAGTAGAGGTGCCCCATCGGTTTCCTAAGTTTAAAAATATTTACAGAAGCAGGTTATCACGTCTCCCCCCACCACTACCACCACTGGCTGGTGGGTTTGAATCACCCACCTTTGGCCTAGCAGTCAAGGTTTGAACCACTGTGCCACACAGACTCAGGAAATCCTTAAGGTGACTCCCCCCACCCCTCGCCACAGATGGAGAGAAAGGTGTACACACACCCCCTCCATAGTGAATGTCATAAAACGATGACCCACACACAATATGATCAGTTGTCAGACAGCACATGTGCATGATGTCATTTTGTTTTAGCATGCAAACAGACACAGGAAAAGTTGGAAAGCAAATGCTTGGGGATGCTAACTAAGGGTTTTCATCAGTTTTACTGCCTTCTGCTTCAGTGCCACTTCTTACGTTTTTCTATAATGATGTAATGAGTTACTAACAATTTTTTAACTGTAAATAAGACATTTAAAAGAAAACACAAGGATACCATCTGCATCCCTCTTGAGGGAACAACTTGCACATCTTTTAGGAGGTTTCTTACATCACTTACCCCTGTGTTTCTGAATTATAATTTATCAATTTTAGATATCACCTAATGACATCTACTTAGATTCTACTCCCGTTGCTCCCTCTCCCCAATACTTTTGTAACACCGGTAGTATATTGCATTTGTTATTGTCTGCTTCCCTTTTAATTCCAAAGGGGGAATTAAAAGATAAAGGTCTTTTCCACGGACGTTGGAAAGCCCCTCCCATAAGCACTCGTCACTGTTGAGTCCATTGGCACTCTGTGATTGTTCTCCCTTACACCAATGTTCATTTCTGCTGGGACCAAAAACGGCCCAGTTTCCACCCTTGTTTTTAAAAAGCACGGACTTACCACAAATGCCTTCCATGCCCTCTCAAGTCTAGCAATTACCAGACAGTCTACCCTCCCTTTCCTGGCAGCTCCCTCCACATTGCTTCAGCCTGGCCAGCTGGTATCTGGTCTGATACAGCTATTACTGTCCGATGAATACATTTCAAGTACATCTTATGAGATCTTTAACCTAGGTTTTCAAAGTATAGATTTTCTTTATATCTCTCTCATTAAATAAAGATATCTCTCTCATTAAATAAAGATTAAAATGAAGATAAAATGAGGAGGGTTTGCAGCACTTGCTGCTGAGGACCATGGATTGCAGCCTTTGGTATAAATTACACCTCAATGTAAAGAACAAAACCCTCACAACTGGACCTATTGGTAACATCACAGTAAATGGAGAGAAAATCGAAGTTGTCAAAGATTTACTCTTGCTTGGATCCACAATCGATGCTCAAGGAGGCAGTCGTCGACAGACTAAACCATGTAGTATAATGTATTATAACGGGCAAACCAGCTGCAGAAGACCTCTTTAACTTGTTAAAAGAGCAAAGAGGTCACGTTAATGACTGAGGTGCACCAGACCACCACTGTGTCACTCTCCATCTGCCCACATGCACGGGAAAGCCGGACTGCAGAGGGATGGAGGCATCCGCATTGCGATGCTGGGGAAGAATACGGAAAGTACCATGGAAAAAATGCAGCTGTCTTAAAAGAAGTACAATGATTGAAGGATTGAACTGCAAGATATGTAAAATATATGCTAATAAAATGTGGTTTTTTAAAAAGACCTTAAAAAAAATTGTAGTACAGTAGGAATGCTCCCTAGAGGCAAGAATGGCAAGACTTCATCTCATGTACTTTGGATATGTTATCAGTCCCTGGAGAGGGCCGTCATGCCTGCATCTTTACATGGATGTTGTTGTCAGGTCTCCACAAATTAGGCCCACATGGTAGTGACCCTCTGGACTACAGAACAGAACAGAACACTGCCAGGGCCTGCGCCAAGCTCACAATTGTTCTGATGTTGGAGCCTGTTATCGCAGCCACTGCAGCCATCTCAGCGATGACTTTGCACTGCCTCTCCACCTCACCACGCACGAGGTCAGATTTTCACTTTGAAACGAGGAGCATTTGCAAGTGTCACCCAGAGAGTGACACTTGGGAAGGAGCAGTCTGGGGAGCAGATCCCCTGGCATGCACCAAGGCAAAGAGCGCTCATCATTGCCGTTCCTCACCGTCTCTCATCTTCTTTCTCACGGGCTCCCAGTCCTCCTGATCCTGGGACTCCAACAAAGGTGGCGTGCCCCCTCTGTCGGGAAGCACAGCCATGACGCGGGAGGCCCCCTCCTCCACCATGGTGAGACCGCATCCCTGTTGTGAGGGGAAGCCTGCAGCAAAGAAAGCAAGACGTCCTGTTCTGTCCATTCGGTTCGGTGAAAGCCCAATGAACCGAGGCTAAATTTGTTCTCACACACGACGGTAATGCAAGACAGTACAGGCTAATGGTATATTTGGAACGTTCCATGGGGATCGGTTCTATTTTCTTTCCCTCAAGGGTTCGAGATCCAAAGCAAACCAAACCCGTTGCCTTCAAGTCAATTCTGACATGCAGTGGCCCTAAAGGAGAGAGTAGAACTGCCCCAGGTTTCCGAGACTCAGTATCTTTACTGGGGCAGAAAGCCTCAACTTTCTCGTGGTAGCCCCTGGGGTCTTTGAACTGTTGACCTTGTGGTCAGCAGCCCGATTCATAACTCACTATGCCACCAGGCATCTGAGAAAATTCAAATGAATTAGGGCTTAAAAGACTATCAGGAGTTGGCCTGGCAGGAATCCTTCTGCTGGTGTTGTCCGAGCTGTTCCCCCTGGCTCCAGAAGCAGTGGTGAGGGCCTGTGCTTGCTGTGCACCGGCCTTCTTGAAACCACAGAGCCACGAGAACATAGGTTTTCAACGTGTGTACCAGAAAAGTCACAACAACAGATGGGAATATTGTTTTTTAGGGGCTGAGTGGCATCCGTCTGGGGAGAGTGCGGGGATAGTGCTTGCAGCTAAAGATCCAAGTTGGGTAAAGGGGCTCCGGGGCATGGAAAGTGACAGATGCTACAAGGCTTTGAAGACAATCAAAAACAGGGCGGGGGGAATTGCCTGTGTTCCAGAGTACTAAGAAATTAAAGAACAAAGCAAATCAGAAAGGAGACAGGGTCAAGTAACGTGTGAGAGACTTCTAGAGTCCTCTAGAAGACAAGCTGAGTGCCCATGTTTACTGCCTTTCCTGCCCGAAACCCCACTGTCATGGATTGAATTGTGTCCCCCGAAATACACATCAATTTGGCTGGGCTATGATTCTCAGAGGAGTAAGCAGTTGTGCTGTGGTCCCCCATGATGTGATAAATCAATCGGTTATTAGTAGATCAGGGTGAAATAAGTGCATTAAATGGGATTAGGTTGCCATCCCTATCCAATGTAAAGGGAGTTCCTCTGGGATGTGGCCCATACAACCTCTTAACTCTTGTAGGCTAAAAGGAGAGAGAAGTAATCAGAGAAAGCGGGGATCCACTATGGTCAAGAAAGAAGAGCAGAAAGTGGAGCATGTCCCGTGGACCAGGAGGTCCCTCAGCTGGGAACTTCCTAGAACCAGAAGAAAGCATTCTCATAAAGCTGGTACTTAAAATGTGGACTTCTAGCTTCCTAAGCAGTGAGAGAAGCCATACCATGTGTTAAAGCCCCCATTATAGCAGCACTAGAGAACTAAGGTATCCATTAAAATGATCACTAAAGAGAGATTAAAAACAAAGAATATCATTCACTGACTCACTCTCTCACTCATTCACTCACTCACTCACTCACTCTCACTCACACAAAAAACCCAAGAAAAACAAAAACAAAGAATATCCTGTAGTGGAGTAGCTAGGTTGGCCAATGAGATAGTGGAAGAAAGTCACATAGAGAAGATGAACTGACAAAGGCATTTCAACAAATGCCCTGCTTCCTGAAGCACCCTGTTGACTGTCTTTGAAGGCTTTTGTGATGCTTGGAACAGTGGAAGCCACTTTAAGGAAAAGATGAAAAGTATAAGGACAGGCAACCTACCACGGCACTGAGGGATGCTCAGGGTTTTACGGACTATCAGAGAGAGAGCTGAGAGCCAGCCCCGCTTCTCCCAGGCTTCTTGTTCCACCCACATTGTAACTGAGATTTAAAAGGTTCTTACGCCCTACCCTCAATCTGAAAACTGCTACACAGTCTAAGAATGGGGAAACCAAAAGTTCTAAGAAATAAGACCCGTTCCCAAGTAGGTAGAAAATATGATAAAGTGTCACAAAAGAACATCAGGCAGCTTTATAAAAGAAAACACTATTGTCGATGGCTGTGGCTCCTCAAAACTGACATTGTACAAAATGTCAATTCTCCCCAAATAAAAATCTTGGGAAGACTGTGTTTTTTGTTTTTGTTTTTTAAATCATTTTATTAGGGGCTCATACAACTCTTATCACAATCCATACACACATCAATTGTGTAA